GTCGGCAAGAAGCCCCTGCGGCGGGTTCTTGGGGTCCACTCGTCCGTTCGCCCTTCTCAAGTGTTTCTACATCCAATCCGTTTCTGCCATTAAACACTCCCTTCTAGCACAGACTCTTGAAAGAAGTCACCTCCAGCAAGATGGGAGGATCGCAGCCATGGCCACAGGTTCCGGTCGGAAACAAAGACCACACTGATGCTTCAGTTGTTATAATCGGAGCGGGCATCTCTGGTAAGTACTTCAATGACGATCTAACTTCTATCATGCTAACATCATCGAGGAATGTGTATGGCGATTGACCTCATCAAGCGAAACCAATGTCACAACTTCATCATCGTGGAGAAGAGCTCTAGTGTCGGCGGCACGTGGCACGACAACAAGTATCCGGGGTGCTGCTGCGATGTCTGGAGTATGCTATACAGTTATTCCTTCGAACAAAATCCAGATTGGACGAGAGAGTATCCGGGACAAGAGGAGATACTTGTACGTCTTCCTCTCATATCTACCTCATATTACAAACACTAACGTTTGCTGCAGGATTATCTCCGCAACGTAGCCCGCAAGTACAACCTGTACAAGTACATTCGTTTCAACACATCCGTCGAAGCCGCAACATGGGACGACTCGAAGAACCGCTGGAAGGTCGACGTGAACGTGACTGGGGGCAAAGATGCAGAGTTCAACCCCGCTTACAGCATTGAATGCGACTTCCTGGTCTCAGCTGTCGGTCAGCTCAACCAGCCACAATACCCCGATATCGAGGGTTTGGAGAACTTCAAGGGCAAGATCATGCATTCAGCGCGCTGGGACTGGAGCCACAGGCTTGAGGGCAGGAGTGTGGGCATCATCGGCAACGGTACGCGCAATAGCATTTGTTTGGAGGAACGAACACTGACAAAAGCACAGGTGCCACGGCTGCTCAGATCATCCCAGAGATCTTACCACAAACCTCTTCGCTGACCATCTACCAACGATCCCCGAACTGGGTCATCCCGCGTCTCGACGGCCCCGTCAGCGCCCTCAAACGTGCCGTATTGCGCTATCTACCTCCCGTTCGCTGGCGCATACGCAGTTCCATGATGGATTTCCGGGAGTCCTTCCACGACGCCGTCACGGATAGCAAGAGCGAGTTCGCAGAAGTGATTCGAAGCAGTTGCATGGACATGATGAAGACACAAATCTCCGATCAGCCTTCACTGTGGGAGAAACTCACACCAAACTACAGCCCAGGCTGCAAACGGGTCATCATATCCGACGACTACTACCCAGCCGTAGCCAACCCGAAGACTACACTCGAGACCAACAAGATCCGTCGCATCACAGAAACCGGCATCGAACTCGAAGACGGCACACATCACGAGCACGACACCATCGTCCTCGCAACCGGCTTCCGTACAGTCGAATTCCTCCACCCCATCAAAGTCACCGGAGCCAATTCGCGCCCCTTGGCAGAAATCTGGTCTTCCGGTGCTACAGCCCTCTACGGCACCACTATTCCCTCTCTCCCTAACTTCGGTCTTTTCTACGGCCCCAACACAAACCTAGGTCACAACTCCATCATCCTGATGATCGAAGCACAGTCTCGCTACCTTAACACCCTCGTTTCCGCCGTTCTCGATGCGCGAAACCGCGGTCAGAGAATGGGCATCATGCCCAAAGAAGACAGGACACATGAGTGGAATGAAGGTATTCAGCAGATTTTGAAGAACAGCAGTTTCGCCGACCCGAACTGCATGAGTTGGTACAAGAATAAAGAGGGGAGGATTACGAACAACTGGTCTGGGACGGTCGTCGAGTACCAGGAGCAGCTTGCCAAGATCGACTGGGAGGATTTCGAGACGACAGCTACTATTGATGAGGGAGAGAAGGAGGCGAGTGCGACTGCTACTGGCGGTGTTAGTGCGAGTAAAGTAGTTTTTGGGACGGGGAAGCAGGAGACCAAGATTGGCAGGGTGCGTGAGGAGACGCTGGTGAGTAACACTACGTTGGTGCTCGGGACGTTGAGTGCGGTTGCTGCGGGTGCGGCGTGGGTCTATCGGGGTAAGCTGCCTAAAAGACTTGGGCTACGGACCTGAAAGCGCGATCCGAAATGTATTTGCTATGTACAAGTAATATCAGAGAACATGCGCGACACACGATTGCCTTATTGATCCAATCTTAACTCGTCATCACCTCAAAACCCCTGCCTCTCCCTCCACTTCCTCTCCCATCCCTCAAACCAAGGGCTCTCATCTAGAGTCTGGGGTTCCCAATCCTCACTTACCAATCCCTTTTCAACCTGCTCCCTATGCCACTCCGCCAACTTGGGCTTGACAACATGCTCAACATGCCACGTCCCCTTATACTCCATCAACTCCTTTTTCCCCTCATTAAGCACCTTGAGCAGTAACCCCGGAACACATTTCTCCTCTTTGAACTCCTCGATCGGAGTGAACAGCGCTTTGAAGTTGAACACGACGGCACCTGACAGTGGGAGTCTGCGCAACGTCTGCCAGTCTACGCGGAGGTTGATGCGAGATGTAGGAAGCTCAGAGGCGGGAAGTTGTTGCTTGCGAACGGCTTCGTGGGGGTCACCGGGGGGCATGTAGAGAGGTGTGTCGATTTCCAGGCCCCAGGAGCCGCGTTGGATGGGTTTGTCTGTCGGCTTTTTGGCGAAGTATCTGTGGTGTTGGGGTTAGCATGAGATAGTGGGGAGTGTTGAAGGGACGTACCTGTCCATGGAGAACTGCATCTTCTCCTTGTAGTCTGGAATGGGTTTGTGTATGTCGGCGAGTTCGAGACCGATCTTCGAGCCTACATTCCAACCTAGTGCACTGCATATGATGCCTGCTCGAAATACGTATAGTCCTGTCTTCTCGTTTCGTAGCATGATGGCGAAGTCTTCGGGGATGTTGTTCAGGAGAACGTGCAAGGGCGGCGTGGTGGTGAGATCGGTATCTGTCTTTAATATGCCATTGTGAAATGTCTTGTTGTTCGCCGATAAGTGGAAGCAATGTGGGTACCTGGCGCACACAAATTGCAATACCATCTCCATGAGTTCTTTGCTGGCAAGCTCCGAGCCTGGTAGAGCTTGAAGGACTGCTTCGCCGTGCTTTGTGAATAGATATTGGCGTTGCTTGATTCGCTCTTCATATGTGTTCTCGAGCTCAATCCACCAGTCAGGTTGCATCTTGGTGATTGCTAGTTATGATCAGTATGGGACTGTGTGCAGCTATCAATACTACTCACACATTGTTTGATGATAAGACCACCTAAACGGTCTATATGGCCGGGGTAGTGCCTTTTTGATGTCGAATTCTGGGTACGGGTCCGGTAGAGGTACGCCGCTGAGTGCAGCGTAGTCTGGGAAATCACCGAGGGCTCTGATCTCGTTTACAGAAAAGCCACATGGGAGGTATGTAGAGTCATCGGCATCCAGATATGATGCTTCCATCGGTAAGACATTCTTCTGCCAGTCCGGCGACACTTCTTCGACCTTTTCTGTCTTCGCGTCTCCAGCCAAGGCGCATCGTCGTGATGGTGGGAAAGTGCTGGCGTGATCAATCGGGGAAACCGACGCTGCCCTCTTTTCTGGAGAAAAAGACCTTGGAGGAGTCTTTGCGCCTGATACCCTTCGTCCGCCGCTACGAAGCCGTTGTAGGATGATGTTGCGCCTTCCCCGCTTGATCAGCAGGAAGACTGAACTGAGCAGAAAAGCTGCTCCCAACAGCAATGAAAGGTTGGTAGCCATATTCAATAACCGTGAGATGCTTGACAGGATAAAGATACACAATGAACAGCGATTGACCTGGCGCTCTTCCTTTTCTCAATGCAAGCAGTGTCGGTGGAGATGGATGACGATGAACGCTGAGTCAACGACTGCAGCGATAGCTTAGCTTCGGAAATGCTGTGGTATTTGACAAGAGCGAAGCTTCACCCGAGACATTCTACAATCGGAAATGAGGTCTGATTGTCTTATCGTTACGATGCGGGGCGGGATGACTGCTGCATAGATGTGCGAAGCGACCTGTAAGACTACCCTAAACAGGTAATGACCGCGCCACGATTGGACGCAAGCGAACAGCACGATGATGTCTCTCATCAGAAGTATGGGCTGTAACGCCTAGGTTGGGATGGCTGTACGCATATCACTACTATGATTGTGGTGGGGCCTATCACCGTAGATCGCCCGCTGTGTAACCCAACGACCCTAACCTTGTATAGTATTGGAACCCCAAGCATCTTGGCTCAGGGCGTAAGGGCAGACATGACTCTCGTCCAGTGGTTTATCGTCCGCCTTGTTGCCAGTTCAAGCGTTGCGTATGGCGCATCTCGGGGCGGCTCTAGAATTTCCCCGCTGTCGGTAATGCGGTCGCTATCGATACCCCGGACGCGCTGATACCGCTTGTGGTGAAGAAGTCCCATAGCTTGCCTTTCTCTCGGGTACGGCTGTCTTAGTGCTTTGATGGCGTGATGCTGCCATGCAATTCGATTCGATGGACTATCTTGGGGTTGACGTCGGATCAGTTCGGTGGGTAGCCATGCAATGCGCGTGACTTTCCTTCAGTCCATGGATTGGCTTCGACAAGAGCGGTCGAAGCCTCCGACCTTACTGTCATGATAATTTATAATTGACTCAATTCTTAGAGTCCGTGATGTATTACGCCGCCATGCACTCGTCGAGCTCTGAGGTCTCCACGCAAACATCAAGAGTTGGTATCGAGGACATGACGTGGAAGGATCGAAGATGGCATACATCCCGGACGAATGAGCAGCCGTTATAAAAGCCAGATACCCTGGCTACTAGATCTTAGCGTGGGTGAAAGTGTCCATGGGTGTGGGAAGGTTGTAGGTAACGACTGGAGATTTGGCATTCTGCGCTAGTTGCACGGGCCATGGGCCCCACGAGATAACAATCCCAAGCGTTATCGCCAGGTCTCACGTAGCGACACAGGCCCATTGTTCCTCCACGACCAAGCGCTCCGTTGGGTGCTGTAATTATCGCTGGTGGATGCGCGAACTCACAAAACGATGCTGCAGTTCTCGCTCTTCAAGTACTCTTCCATGGACGTGTACTTCACGTCGATGCCCAGGTCCCACGGAAACACGACATCAGGAATGCCACCTTCGAAGCCAAACTTGTCGAAATACTCGTACATGTCGGCAATTTCGGGACCGTATACGGGTCCCATCGCTTCTTCAATGGCTTCTCGGGGTATCTGCTTGAAGACGCATTTCACGTTGTTCACCTTCCCGAAGATGTCGCACCATTCACCAAGCGATATGAACGATCCAGCGCCGCTCAAAAGTGTTCCTGGTGGCAAATCAACGAGTGCTTTCGTGAAACGCCCTGGGTTTATCAGCAGGTGACTACGTCAAAGGCGAATGAGACTGACCAGTGTCTGCAACCGGATCGACCATGGGGATCTTCCTGTCTCCACTCATGGGTAGACTAAGAACAAAGGAGCCGTCTTCCTGCTTCTCTGGTCTCCAGTTACTTGCATAGGAGCCCAAGTGCAGCAAGCTCGTCTTGGCGGAAAGCTCCGGGTATGTCTCTTTCAGGTAATTCTCGGTTTCAGCCTTTGCATCGAAGTGCAAGTTCCACTTGATGGTACCGTTGCTCCATTTCCTAGCTTCAGAAAGCGTGGACAACACGAGACGGTCCAGAGTACCGGCATGAGCCGCTGCTGCATCGATGATAGCCTTGGCTTGAGCAACTTCTCGGTCATATGCCACTTCGTTTGCTGTACGTTTCTGTTCGGCAGCAAGCTTATGTGTCGCAGGATCATTCAGGTGACCCCAGAAGTCAGTGTTGCCGAAGATGACATTTGCACCCTTGAATCCATTCTTCAGCGACTCTAGGTCATCAAGGTTGCCTGCTACGACTTCAACACCTTGGGATGACAACTCTGTGGCGGACGGTTTGGAAGTGTCGCGAGTGATGCCGCGAACTTTCCACTCGGGCTCGTTCAGGAACGCGCGAGCAACTGACCCACCCTATGCTTAGTTATTGTCGTGTTCATCTGGAGTGGTTGTCGATATATTGGCGCATACCTGATTTCCGGTGACCCCAATAACGGCAATTAACTTAGTCATGACTCTACGAAGCTATTCCTGGGTCTATACTAATAAGAAGTAACTTCCATTGAAAGATATGAATGCAGAGCTTTATAGCCTCTCAGGCCGCCATATGAAGCGTGAGGTTCACAGTCCTTGACCGGAAGATGACGAACGAGTCGCTCCTGTTCCAGGCGTCCATTCGAATTACAGACAACAGGCTGTCAGATCGGTACAACAGCTCTGCTAAAATGTTACACACGATGCGAACCAAGAGTAGTAAGCCAATCGCATCTTCAAGCATGAAGGAGAAGCGTTGGTTATTGGTCCTGGCTTACGACGTCATTGTACATTTGGGCTGTATGTTGCCGCCGGGCGTACGAAACCCCGCACTCCTTCAAGGCCTCCATCAGCAATCAATACAAATCTGCAGAGGTAGGTAAAGAGAGGAACGGACAAAATAATTACTCCTATAGGAAGTCAGTCACTGGCCCCAGGGCGTGGACCTCGGGAGGTGCATGGCCCACGCTAAGACCTATTAGGAAAGTCTCGGCATCCTTCAAACATGTAGTCGAATGCAGGGTTTCTTCTCACTATCGAAAGATATAGCAGTGAAAAGACCATTTCGCTTGCTAACTTTTACTCGAATAATGTCCTACAGCCACCCAAGCTGAATAGCTCATATACGCCACTCCTTGCGACAGAGCGGGCACAGCATTTCCCGTTCCATATGAAGCATGAGCTCCAGTAAGCAAGACTTACCGTACACGTGGCCAAATGGACACGGAGCGTGTACCGGACTGTCTCTTTTCCCATCCTCATCCTCCTCATCAAAGTTGCACCAACAGTGAGGGCATCGCATATCCTCTTTTGCAATTGAATCGACGTCAATCACCGCAAGCGAGCGAACGAAGTCGCGTTTGGACTGCGCAAGCGTCGGTCGTACGTGCGCAAACCATATCGGCTCGGATAATACTGGTACACGTACAAAGACATGGCATAATGGATGTTTCGCCGGGTCATCCACATGATTCCAGATAAGACCAAGGCAGTCCATCATATACTGAACGATCCAGCGATTGCGAAAGGCGATTTGTAACTCGGGTAGCCTGAGAGAAGTATCCATCTCCATACAAACCATGAATGGAGAGGTAGACGAGTAGTCAAGTAGCATGGACGTGTGCGCTACGTACTGATAGGGTGTTATACCCGCATTGTGCATCTCATCCAGCATTTCTGCTAGTTTGTACATGCCTACACACCAGGCTTGCGGCAGCGCGAACCGATCAGGAATTGGTCTGCCGACGGTAGGATGCGCGCTAGGGATAACTGAACGGAGCTCTATGTCCGCTTCATTCAACGTCTCTAGGAATGACCAATGCGAGAAACTCAAGCCCTTGTAATTGAGGTTGGGTTCTTCGTCTTCGATGGGGGCGACGCGGGTGATGAAGCTGTCTTTTAACATCAATTCTGGAAGGTTGGCTTGACACCATCGTAGTGGACTGATGCCGACCCCGATCATCTCGTCGTACATGTCTTCGGCTGTAGTGCCAACCCAGGGTGGATGGTAGACGGCATCCTCTAAAAATGGACGTCCGGTGTTGTGGAACATAGATTTGGTACGCACGCCTTGGAGGTAGGCGAATACGAATTCGTCAACAGTGAAAGACAAGACGGGAGCTTCCACAGCAGCGAGAGGGCCAGGCTTGCTAGAGGGAGTACTAGTAGGAACTACCGACTCCTGTTGCGTAGTGAATGTGTTTCCCATGGTTCGGTTTAACTTGGTTGTGAACTAATTGCCGCGCGCAGTTGTGGTAGGGATAATCGTTCAGGAAAGCAATTACTTTGACACTATTCAACGTCAAGTAGGCCGCAGGCCAAGAGCACATTCACCGGTGAATATCACCGTAAGGGCTTCGCCCTTGAGCCACACAGTGCTCCAAAATCACCTTCTTCACTTCTGCCTTCCTCTGCGGGCTCTATATCTACCTTCAGAAACACCTCGACCAGGTGTTCACCACACTCACTCCCAACCGAAATATCAAGATGTCATCAACCTCACCACAACCATTTTCTTCCGCTAATGAGTCTGGTGCCGTTGTCTCGAGCACACAAGACGACCTCACCGGAGACATGCCTCCGACTACGACAGATGCTAGCCCAGCGCCAACGACATCCAACGAAGAAGAAGAGCCATCCCTAGAATCGCTAGAGAGCGAGCTTGACCAGAGCATGACACTCGCCCCATACGGCTCACCAGAGTCCACGTCAAACGGAGCTCATCCAGATGGACAAGGGCACGTCTTACCCGGCCTAGGCGGCGTGATAAACCAACCCCTTGCAGCGTTGTTCGGAAATGCACCATTCTTCGTCTACGGCTTCGCGAACGCCACGGGCGCGGATCTCCCGACTCTAGGTAATCTAAATACGCACCAAGCTCTCGTTGTCCCCGCGACGACTTCTTCCCACCCTTTGCCGACATTGCCGACTTTTTCCCACCCTTTCCCGACATTCACGACTTCTTTTGCGCAAGTTCCCCATCATCATCATCATCATCATCATCACCATCATCATCAACCAGTTCAACTTGCCTTATCCGACTTATTTGCCGACCACATGACCGAGGAGCAATGGGAACAAGAACAGATCCAAGACGCTTTGCACTGGGAAATGGCAAACTCTGAAGCAATGTTTGGACCTATTCGCCATCAAACTCGAACAACACGCGTGGAAGTCGCCACGGCTTTCGTCGAGACACTGGACGAAGTCGACATTACTAGTATCGAACCAGAGGATATGAAATGTCCGCTGTGCTGGCTTCCATTCGGCAGCACCACAGACGAGGAGGGTCCATCAATTGCTACTTACCTCGACGATGAAGAGCGAGAAATCACGGAACGCTTGCATGCGAGCTATAATCTGCCCTTCTGCGAGAACCGGCCGGATAACGACCCTGTTAGAACTCCATGTGGGCATTTCTTCGGACGGCAGTGCCTAATCGATAGCTTGGGGACGAATATGATCTGTCCCATGTGCAGATGTCGGGTTGATGGGAACGAGGGCGTGACCTCCCCCTACCACTCCGGCTTCGGCAATATATTTTCGTGGAACACATTATCGTAGTATACGAATGGTGTAAATTTTGTTTCCTAGTTGATTTGTATATACGCTCGAGATAGGTGATGCCATATTTCTAATGCGGCCGGCGCAGGGGATGTGCTTCAGTATTGCTACAGACTTGTTAGCGCCATCTTCAACATCACAAGGGCCATACTCACAATACATATTCGTCCAAGCTGACAAGGCTTGGCTCGCTGAAGATCAGATAGAAATACTTCAGAGTTTCCGCCATCCAAAAGCTTTCACATTCATCCAACTTGAGTGTCTCTTGCCCTTGTGGTATTGTGACGTCGGCGATGGCAGAATGAGCGAACTCTGCATGAGTGGCGTTGTTGATGGATTCGAACATGCGCCAGGCAGTGTCTTGGAGGGTGGTGTCGCCGGTGATACGATAGAGGACGAAGACTGACTCGATGGCTTCCGGGCTGTGACAATCGTTAGCTATGCATAGTGGCGTGATGTAGCACACATACCGTAACAGAAATCGCGGGTCACCAATCTTAGAGAAGCCCGGCTGCAGCCCTACCTCCTTGATGACGTCTTGAACGTCATAGTGCTCCGCGTGGATGTTGTTGGAGTAGGAGTACCTGACAGAGGCATGCCATTTCTCCACATCCCACGCGCAGTCTTCTTCTCCAAAGCACGGCATCATCCGGAATGTTTCCGGCATGATACCAGTAGGCATCGTATCATAAGCCCAGGTGCACCCGTCCACTAGCTTGCGAGCGACGTCTAGCTCGTCCGTCCGATTGAAGATCTTGGCGCCCAAAGCTACCATGCCACCCGTAAAGCAAGCGAGGTGCTGGCCGTTGGGTTCGAGCTTGACAGTGCCTGAGGTGCTGATTCGCGCATCGCCAGAGACGAGGATGTTGTCACCCTGGGGTATCCTGGGCCGGAAGAACAAATGCTCTTTCGCTGGCTCGATGGCGCGCTCGTATAGCTTCCGGTATTGGTCTGTCAGACCCCCGAGGAGCAAGTGCTGCTTCGGCAAGTATTCGTACAGCGAATCAGTCATTCCACCCATTGTGAAGGATCCGTCGACGTCGTATTCCTCCCGACCTGGACTGACCAGTATTGGAAATAGCCCTGGTATCTTCGTCCGGTTCTGATGCTTTTCGAGCACGTCGGTGATCCTCGCTATCGCGTCGTAGTACTTCGCATCGCCAGTAAGCTGCGACAGGCGGGTGAATTCGAGTGATAGCGATCCTATCTCGGCGCTAAGAGCTTGCGTATCAGCCTCTTGGTGGCCATTTAGAGCAGCACTGATTTCTGTTAGTCTGTGTGGGTCGGTAGCATGGAGCAATCATACTTCTCCCAGTCCCATCGGGTGATGGGCATCCTGTTCGGGGTGTCAAAGGCGGCGTAGAGCATATCCCCCAACTCGGTCGCCTTGTGTAGTAGTGCATGGTGCTTCGCCTTGCTTAGATCGTATGCGCTTAGAAGACCCCCCAGGTAGCGGATCGTAGTCTCGAAGACGTTCAAACGCGCGACACCTGCAGTGGTGAAGTCAATCTTCTTGATGGCATGCACGGCCTCCTCAAATTCTTCTTCTAACCCTAGAATGATCAAAGTATCCAGGGTGTCAACTAGAGTTGCTCCCCGCTGCCCGAAGCCGTTCTTGAAGCCTCCTGTTACCGGAGTGACTTCATCCTGTAGCCACGCGTGGGTCTTATATCCTCCCCAGCTGTGTAAGAATGCCTTCTTTACAGCGGCTTGTCTATGCAATCTCTCCGCCTTGGTGTGTTCCGTCTCAATGCCAAATTCATGTTGGATTCTCGGGATGGCGACCGGGGCGCCAGTGGGGAGAGGAGCTAGCGATGATACCGGGTTTCGCACCGGTATGCTCTTCCATTGTACGGCGTGATCGATTCGGGTCGACGAGGTGAACGTCGGCAGGGGGAGTCCGTTTCGGGCGCTGAGTTGGCGAAAGGCAAGGATGACAAAGGTAGCGAATACAAATAGCACAGCAATGCGTCGGATAATGGGGCTCATAATGTCTATTGAGGGTATCTCAAACTAAAATGGAAGAAACGCGACTGCTGCGCCGCGGAACACAGGGCCAGCATCCGAGGATGCAAAAGAGCAATTGAATGGGACAAGAATGTATTGAAAATACAGGAAACAAAAAAGACAGACGATATGCAATAGACACAGCGGAATGCGACCAGATGGGATGAAAGAAGGAGCCCCGTGGTGATGCACATGCTAAAGATAGGCTGAAGTGCCGATCCTCCGACCCTGAGCTAGCGGCTCTGTGCGTCGTCATCGTCAACCCATTACCACAACCCGTGGACCACTATCAACCCCGCAATGTCAAGGAGATATCTCTGGGAGCAACAATTGACTGCTTGTCTGCTAGCGCGACTGCCGCCGACGGCTTTCTTGTCTCACGTGCAGTAGGCAGCAGTCATGGATGCTTACCTAGGTACTCAGGAGACCACGCGCGATGTGAGACTGCGAGACAGCCAGCCATTTCATCGGTGTATCATACAACGGCGCTTCATTCACCGTGTGTAATATGAAGTCTGCGTATCGCCATGTCAGCAAGGTTCCGGGAATTTTGCGTCGTTGAAAGCTATATGGGCCACGAGCTTCGCACCTTCTGCTTTCATCATCTCATCACTGCGCGCTAAGTTACCTCAAGAACAACAAACCTTACATTGACAGGATGTTTACACTCTTCGGAGATCGCGCCCCTTCATCGCCCCCAGATCCGGCCAAACTCCAGCTCCGACCCAACGAATGCCAAGTGCACAGCCTTTCTGACGGGCGCTCTCTTGGCTTCGCAACCTATGGATCTACGAACTCGTCGCACCCTGTCATCTTCCTTTTTCATGGCCTGCCAGGCTGTCGTTTGGTCGGAAGAAGCTGGGACAAGCTCTGCAGGGACATCGGCGCGCGTCTCATCGCCATGGATCGTCCAGGCTGTGGAGATTCGACGCTCGCGGACCGCAGTCTCGTTGACTGGCCTGCAGATGTTGTGAGCCTCGCAGACCATCTCAACATTGAGCGCTTCAGCGTGCTCGGTGCTAGCGGAGGCGGACCATACGCGTTGGCCTGCGCACGCTTCATTCCCCAAAAACGACTTCGGGCGGCGACTGTAGTGTGCGGTATTGGACCCATCGAGGCACTTCTAGACACTGTGCCCTATCTATCATGGCGGCTCATGGGTATAACTCCATGGCTGCTACGACAAGGGGCCCTCCGTGTCTTCCTACCTCACATCCTCATTCGTCCCTACCTCACTAGGGACCCTTCCCGCCTCAAGCGTGTCCTCGAAGACCAAGCCAAGACTCCAGAAGAGAAAGAGCAATTTCGCGACAACAGCGGAGAGACCGATCTTGACGACGTTGTCGCATCATTACTTGAGGCCTTCAAGCAAGGCGCTGGCGGATGCATGCAGGATGGTGCTGCGCTTACGAGAGAATGGGGCTTTGATCTGAAGGACGTAGACAGCGAACGGGTCTTGCTAGTACATGGTGATCAAGATGCGCAGGCGCCGTTGAAGGTTGCGCAGTGGATCGATGAGAGATTGGGGCGCGGAAGACTGCGGACGCTCGAGGGCAAGACACATTTTACGATCTGGAAGGAGCATTCGGAGGAGATATTCCGACAAAGCGCTGAGGCGTAAGTATATCGGTGGATGAATGAGTGTTCGCAAGTTCCGCTGCAAGCGCTCTTCTCCAAGGCTTGGTACGGCTGGGCGTAATGCGCAGCCGGCTCATCTTCAAATTTCGCCCATGTCCGATTTCGTTACTCGGAGATGCGGGCTTCCAGTCGGCTTTGTCAGGACAATATTCAACATCTCCTTCACCGTTAACATAGCCATGTAAGTCTTCCCTCAACTAGAGCGATGTCAAGAATATATAAACACTCAAGCATCTGACCTCTTAGCTGCAACATACTGCATTACCCACTTACCACAGCAACCATCCAAAACCCTACACAACGACCATGTATCTATCCATCTTCACCCCTATGTTATTAGCAATAGCCTGGCTTGTTACTTTTGCATCATCCATGCCTTCCAAGGGTCTCTCGCCCGTATGGGAATCACTCGCCCCTATCCCTCTTTTCTCTCGTCAGGAACACTCCACAGTATTCCTCCCACCATCTACTATCGCAATTCTTGGCGGTATTATCCCATCCAATACATCCTTCCCACCCATAGACACTACTCCTCTGATGCAATTCTACTCAATCACGAACAACACCTGGACCACGAAAGCGAGCATGCCACGAGGTCTCAACCACGCCAACGCAGCCGTTGTGGACGGGAAGATTTACGTTCTAGGTGGCCTGGCAGAGACGGACAAGGAGACAACAAGGGTATGGGGCGCAGTACCAGACTCATGGATGTACGACCCTCTCACAGATGCATGGGAATCGATTCCAGGCCTACCCACCGGCGAAGAAAGAGGTAGTGCGGCCGTAGGCACTTACCAGTCCAAGATCTATCTCGCGGCCGGCATGTCGGAGCTTGAGCTCGTCGAACATGGCCGCCAGCGCAGTGTCTCTGTTGTTTCCATCTTCGATTCAAAGACCAGGACATGGCTTGCCGTTCCAGAAGCTGCCAAATATATACCGGCATCCAGAGACCACGTTGGAGCTGCAGTTGTGGGCTCAAAGATGTACGTCCTCGGTGGACGGGACAGCGGACAGGAAAATGTTCGCGACACGGTCTTCATCCTCGATCTTTGTGATCTGGAAGCTGGTTGGAAGACTAGCTCGGCGCGCATGCCTACGGCTAGGGGTGGTGTCGCGGCTGGTGTTATCGGGAAGGACATCTACGTCTTCGGCGGTGAGGGCAATACGCTATCGGAGACCGGAGTCTTTGATCAGGTCGAGGTTTATGATACCGTGCGGGATCGATGGGCGAAGGCTGGAAAGATGAAGCTTCCTAGGCATGGCACGTATGCTGTCGGCGTGGAAGGGAAGGTGTACATACCTGGAGGCGGTGTACGTCAAAGCGGCGCGCCAGTGTCTGCCTTCGACGTCTTCATTCCTTAGGGTGTATCCATGGCGCGATCCGGGGTCGACCTGGAACGAAGCGGTCAGAGTTGTGGTAAGATTTCTCGAGTCAACGTCAGCATCATTTTACTCGTTTGCAAGAGTTAGATTGGATATATGTAATCAGTCATTCGTTCGTAGCAATATTTTCCGCAACAAATCTGTCATACCGCAATGATGAGAAAAGAATGCTACGTTGGTTGCCCTTGCTGTTCCCTCGCCCGTGCTTGCAAGCCTCATTCTGCCGAGCCCTTTCGGCGCTCCAAGTATAGTGTTGAGATGACACTCTCGGTCTTCGGTGTTGAAGTTGTAATAGTAATCGGATAGCAACAAAGCCAAGGGTTGATGGAGGTGAGTAAGAGCTATGCCCTTAGTATCGCCGTCTGACATCCATGGACTGCCCACTAGTTCTGTTTCGGGCGGTGAGCGGTGAGATCTTCCAGATTCGGTAGATCTATGTCGGCCCGCATGACCATAGAGAATCAACATTTGGGCGCTGTACACTCGCCATTGCGATAGAGTTCGATGGACGCCTTTGGCTTTGCGATGGATGCATGCGCGACGAAGATCTTTGCGGAGGGTGGTAGCCTGAAGAAGCAGGAGACAGATGGCCATAACGAGCTAGCGGCAGCTGATGTGGCGCTAGGAGAGAAGCCTCGGAACATTTCACCACCACGAACATGATGCCCTTACCACTTGCAACTCCCACAACATCCGCAGGTCGTTCCATTCAGCTCCCGACGTCTTGTCGAACCTTTTGAGGCTGTTGGAGCGAGGAGATCAGTTCTGGAACTGCTCGATATTATAGCGCGCCACAAATCCAGCCCTTGGACCCGGCATGTTTCACTCTGCCCGTGCCGTAACGTGCGGACAGCCACACGTGTGGGCGGATCAGGTATGGATGTGGCGCGTGTCAACACTTAACTAATTTCGACCCGGTCGCTATCCGACAAAGTGCAGGCCCCTCCCTTGAGCCTCTACACGTGGAGCGCTTTCTCGTACGATCCACCACTCAGGCATCGCGGCAGACCTGCAAAACGTGAAACACCATCTGCACCCCTCACATTAGATTGCCTGGACATGCAGGCCTAGACACTTTTTGACCAATTCTCCGTACCGGCTTCTTCATGCACATACCGAGAATGTCGTTTCCACCATTCAGAACGCAGGTCAGCGCCGGACTGGCAATCTCACCTCTCCACGTCTAGTCCATGCCAAAGGTTTCGGGATGGTCCTCATTGGGAATCTTCAAGAGGTCTAAAAGTACCACCGGTAATATATAGGATGATGACCAGGCACTGTCTGTTTGTTTCATTCATCTATTGCTTCTTGTTTCCTCTTCCATTCGCTACCAATCGCCAGGATGCGTTACTCTATCGTCGCCTCGTTGCTCTCGGCTGCTACCGCCGTCTACGGCTATGCTGACCCCATGGCCTGTTCCGGTATCTGCAACAACGCTCACGACCCGGCCCTTATCCGTCGCGCCGATGGCACTTACTACCGTTTCTCTACGGGTGGTAAGATTGCTATTCACACCGCGCCTTCGATCACCGGTCCGTGGTCCTACAAGGGTGCCGCGATCCCCGCTGGTTCCAAGATCAACCTGGCTGGCAAGGACGATCTCTGGGTACGTTCTGTCATGTATGCGCTTACTCGAAGACGAGCTAACGAACTCAGGCTCCTGACGTGACCCTGGTCGGCGACACATACTACCTGTACTACACTGTATCGTCTTTCGGAGTCCAGAACTCCGCCATTGGTGTTGCTACTAGCAAGGACATGAACACCTGGACCGACCTTGGTGCCACTGGTATTCAGTCGAGCGCGGGAAAGAACTACAACGCCATTGATGGTGCGCTATACTGGGATGGATCCAAGTTCGTCATGTCCTTCGGCTCCTTCTGGAACGACCTCTTCGTCCAGAACATGGCCAACCCACCCGTCAAGACCAGCTCTTCCACTGTGACCAACATCGCCTTCAAGCCCGAGGGAGAGCACGCTCAAGAAGCTCCGTTCATTGCTCTGAACGGCAACTACCACTACCTATTCTTCTCCGTTGGCAAGTGCTGCGGCTTCGATGCCAACAGGCCTGCCGCGGGCCAGGAGTACAAGATCCAAGTCTGCAGGTCCACCAGCGCCACTGGTGGCTTCAAGGACAAGAACGGTGTCGACTGCACCAAGGGTGGCGGTACCACTGTCTTGGAGTCCCACGGCTTTGTCTACGGACCCGGTGGTCAGGGTGTCTACTACGATCCTAAGGAGGGCCCTGTACTATACTACCACTACGTCGACACCCGCATTGGTTACGGCGATGGCCAGAAGAAGTTCGGTATCAACAAGATCAACTGGTCCAGTGGATGGCCTGTTGTATAAGCACTTTTCGGGAGTGTGGGCACATGCCAGGCTCAGTGTCGGCTGCTTGCTCGTCCGTTTGGACACCTTCATGTCTATACCTTTTTCTCTCTACACCTTTACATATACCTATACTGTATATATTTGCACAATACATACATATGTGCCAACAATATCGCGCTACTTGAAACGTTGTGCAGTTGCTTTTTTGGTTCAGATTGCGAGACAGCAGCTCACTATGGGAGGTTTTGGCAACGCCGAGCCATTAGCACCCTTACTCGAATGCCTTTTCTGACAGCAAGATCAAGAAGTAGATGAATTTATTGGCGTTTGTTGGTATTGTGCTTGCACATTAGTCCGACTGCGTCGAAGGCATGAGGCTTGCGTCATCAACAGCCCAGCCACAGCCGAGCAGCCACAGCCACGCGTCCACAGCAACCTCCTAAAGCACCGCACGCACACTCGGCGTCATGCCGCAAGTTATCCACTGTTCTCTCCTCGCAAACCCTGTGTATTTTTAGATCCCACGATATACATATATCCTGTGCACCGAGGTTTATCTGCCCGGCCTCGGCAAAACCTGTCGCGATGCGCTCCATTACCACAACTCGGCATATTGCCAACCCGATCTGCAGGATCGACATACGCGTACGCATGGACTGAATTTCTCTTCAGTCATACCAAGAACTCGCACGCGCTTTCCGAAGAGCGCGTCGCGATGCCACTCGATCAACCCACGCATTTCAACCAACCCCAAATTTTCCACAGCTTCCGATACCGGCCGCTGGACCCCTCCGAGGGTGAGGATATTCGCCTCTTGTGTCTCTACCCCGGCGAATTTCACGATCCCATCCGATGCGATCTCGTCCACACGAACCTGGATGATGACATCGAATACGAGGCCCTTTCCTACACGTGGGCGTCCGAAGATGGAGACGCTAGCTTGTCACAAAGGATTCATTGCGCTTACATCGGAGAGGAACAACCGTCGATTTTGCCAGTAACACTAAGCTGCGCGTCTGCGTTGCGCAGGCTAAGATCTACCTCACAGGAAAGAATGCTATGGGTCGATGCACTCGCTATTGATCAAAGCAACATGCAAGAGCGAAACCAGCAGGTCTCGATCATGGCCAGGATATACTCAGGCGCTTCGCAAGTTTTGGTCTACCTAGGAGAAGAAGATCTAGGATTCGGTAATCGCAATCTATGGCTAGATACCGAGAGACGACAAGTTGCGCTGAAGAAACTGTTTGCCAAGAGATGGGCCTCGCGGGTATGGGTGATTCAAGAAGCAGCGCTGGCGCAAAAATTAGTGATGGTTACGGGCAACACATCATGTCCTATGGATACTAATCTGATGAGCCGTATCCGTGGAAGAGCCAAAATATCTGGGTTGCAGATACCCGGTCCACTAGCCTGGGACCCACTAGTCAGTGCGCCAACAAGAGACCTACTCACAATGCTGCATATGACGCGCAATTGTTCGTCGACTGATCCTAGGGACAAGATATACGGCGTTTTAGGCTTGGTCGGCGAGCGTTTGCAGAGTTTGGTGCAGATCGACTACTCCCAAAGCGTCGACGAAGTTATGACACGCGCGGCGGCCGCAATCATCATCTGCAGGGAAGACTTCGAAATATTAGCATATGCATCGCATAGAGCAAGACCCGCGCGGCATGACTTGCCGACTTGGGTACCAGACTGGACTGAGTGCACAGGCGAGATCACGATACGTCCTCAATTCCAAAGCCCGAAGATAGGACCCTGGAAATCGTTGGAGAAGTTGATGTGGAGCCGGCCTACAGCTGCTCAGACTCGCGAGATAGACTGGGGATCAGTGGTTGATATACCCGCCAGCTGGCCGGCCAGTATCCACTCAAGACCGTCTATTGAAGTTCGTGCACACTGCCTTGCAACCATAGACAGCACCACAGAGCAAGGGGACAACGATACTCAACGATGGCAAGACGCTCAGGATTTTGGGTTTGCCTTGAAAAATCTCATGGATAGTGACGCTGCACCGCGCAGTTTTGACATGCAGTCGTGGCCTACACGATATAGATGGCTCTTCGATCCCCACTTTACTCGCCTCAACCAACCCCAATCTCGAACAACAAGCGCCGGGGATCTCCACCGGATTGGATTACAACAATTCTGCGCTGAGCTTCAAACGCTCAGCAAAGACAAACGCATCTTTCGGGCTGGCTATCTCCCCGCAGTAACGAGCCATGACTTCGAGGTGGGCGATACCGTATGGGCGATTGATGGCTGCACAGTTCCGCTTATCCTCAGAGCTGAGCACAATGTAAGGCCCAGGATGGCTGGTCGCCGAAGCTTTGTCATCGTGGGTGACTGCCACCTGTTTGCTTTGTCGCATCTCGATTGTTGGACGACAGCGGGGACAGGACTTGATCAACGATGGGATTTTGATCCTTTTCGCCATATGGACGCGATGGGTACGCAGATGATCAATATATATTGATGCGTACGCTACTGAACTCGCCGTGAGGTTCAGCCTCAGCCTGGTGTGGACGCGACGCTCACCGATTGGTTGAGCACAGCCGGTGTGATGCATGCACTATGCCACCACCACAATTCAGGCTCAGCCTACTGCCTTTCGTCATCCACTACTGACACCTCAAAGACGATCTCTTGATCTCTTGATCTCTTGATCTTTCCATCTTTACACGTATACGCGCAACTATAGGACAACAACTGTTTTGCACCATGTCGGAAAAAGCATGCAACCACCCGGACATACGAGAATTTGACGGCCTAAGTTGCTGCCTCGCCTGTGGTGAAACTGTGTTCGATGACTCAGTGTTGGTGCCTACCGACCAAATCGCGGATGTCGTAGATCATTACCGCTATACCAGTTTGAACTACAATCGCGGCCTCGAGATACGACTGATCGAGCTTCTACCAAGCGAGGAAGCTGATCCCATTCGATGCGAGATCGTACATGTCAATCTGGAGGACCAACCGGACTACGATGCAGTCTCGTATACGTGGGCTACGGAAAGTGGGGACGCTAGTTTGTGCAAGACTATTCAGGTTTTGCGCGGCGGCTCCATGCTGATTACTGCGAATTGTGATGTTGCGCTTCGACAGCTCCGGCGACGTGGGCTTCGACGGCGAGTTTGGATTGACGCAATATGTAAGTAATAGAAACCTTTGAAACTGTTTTCGTGTCACTGGCTTATGGGATTAGGTATCGATCAAACCAAGATCGAAGAGAGGAACCACCAAGTCAACCTGATGGATCGCATATACTCCCTCGCCACTAGTGTGCGAATTTGCGTTCAGGATCCCATAGCTCGATCTAGTGGCACGGATTATAGCGCTGTGTTCCGAAGGTTCGGGCAAACCCAGGCTAGCGACACTGAGGTTTCTACCAAGTCTCACGGCCCTGCAGCTGTTCATTATCGCCCACCGTCATACGATGACGATTTGCTGATTTTGCAACTTCTTACGTGTAGGTACTTTAAAAGGATATGGGTGATTCAAGAAGTCGTATTGGCAAGAGCTGCGTATCTGGCTTTGAACGACGAAGAGCTTCTCTTAACGCGGAAGGTCTTGGAAGGCTTCATATCCATTTGCAGTCAGTTCAGGGAGCCACCACCAAGCGTACTCAGCTGGCGTGCAACTCAGGACACAACATTAAGCATCCTATCCTGTCTCTATGCCAGCATACATTGCGAAGCGACTGATCCACGAGATGGTATATATGCGATTTTGAGTTTGATGGAGCCTCGGTCTAGGTCACTAATATCAGTGAACTATGCATCGACAGTCGAGTCCGTCTATGCGAACGCCATCGCGGCCAACATCTCGACCCACCAAAATCTTGCCATCTTGTCGTATGTCGGCGTTGGCACCCCAGCTTCCCCCAAAGAGCATATATCTTCATCTCCCGTGACATCCGCGGGAGGGTGGCAAACGGCCATGTGCCTTGATATGACACGTCTACGACTCTTCGTACTTGACAATTCTGGAAGCAAGTCATACGATCCTGTTCCGCGCGCTGCCCGCAAGCCCTTTCCTCCTCAATTCGGAGCGCATTCGATAGGAAAATGGCGGCCAACTGTGGACATCGAAGTAGCTTCACCGGCCGAAGACTACTTCCAAAAAAACACCTCCAGCGGAAGTCATTCATGCCTTGTAGAACTGCCGCGGCCAACCCATACAGATTTTCTACCAAGGATTCGTACTCAAGCACATTACATCGATAGCGTCGATCAAACGGTGTTCTCGTCCCGATGGGGCAGGCGCCTGGGGGACTTTGCATACTGGGTCTTGAGTGAGCCTAGGTGCTTGAAACTCGTAGAATTCTCCTGGCTAGCAACCTTGCTAGGAGTGTCCCCAGAGACTTCCTCGGGTGTTTTGGATGAGGACCGTTACCTGTACCCGGGTCGTTGTGATCGCTCTCTTGAGGGATGGCTCCGCATGGCTGAGGAAGCAAACTTGAGCATATCGAGAACGGACTTGGTTGAAATATGGACCTTCTTCAACCGGATGTTCACACTTAAAGGTCTATTCTTCTCAAGTCATTTCAGCGTTGGATGTGTCCAGGCGAGTATACAGACTGGCGACGAGATATTTGCCGTCGATGGCGTGAACTCACCCCTCGTTCTCCGCAAAACAGCGGCAAACCAGTACAGGATAGTAACTGAGTGTTGGTTATTAGCTGCGCTTGAGCTCGATTGTTGGAACCCAGGGACCAAGAAAGGAAGATGGGGTAAAGACGTTGAAAGACCTACGGAAACCCAGACGCGCATGATCGAGATATACTAAGTCGTCTGTTGCGTCATGTTTCAGAATTGGATGTTCATGTACTCTACTTCTCGTGTACTGGAACAGTCAAGCACAGTACATACCGTAGACTCACGAAGCCATAGCTTCTGGAAATGACACGTAAACGACGCCATCAAGATGATTCTCATCACATGGACCGAGTTCTCGCATCCCCGGCGTTAGCCCACGTGCTTAGTGAGGACAATTCGACTAGCTCAGCGATTACG